GCCTTCGGCTCAGGTCATGATCCCAGGGTTCTGGGATCGAGCCCCGTATCAGGCTCTCTGCTCAGCGGGGAGCCTGCTTCCTCCTCTCTCTCTCTGCCTGCCTCTCTGCCTACTTGTGATCTCTGTCTGTCAAATAAATAAATAAAATCTTAAAAAAAAAAAAAAAGAATTCCAAAACCTCACAGGGCATCTCCGAAGTAGACATCAAACAGGCCCCAGGCAAGGGACAGCAAGGGCCATCAAGCATCTATGCCGTTTGATAGAGTAAACCCACTTCCAGAAATGGCTTCTAAGAAAAGAATCTGCAGGAAGGAAAAGTGCAAAGACGTTTACCTGCACTATTTGTATGTAGCCTTAAAATGTCCAAATGAGAGCATGCTCACTTGAAAACAAAAAAAAAGTTAAGCAACCAAAATTATAATTATGAGGAAAGTGCAATCACATAAAAAATGCTGTGAAATGACAGTACATGAAAAAATTAATACATAAAACTCTACTCATGCTTTGAGTACAGTGATATGAAAATGTATCCCCTTAAGGATAAAGGACTGCAGGACAGACACTCAAATGACCAGATGGCAGGATTGCCTGTGTGTGAGGCAATATCTGATTTTTATCACTAATGTTGTTATAATGCCATTTCTTAAAAGATTTACTTATCTATTTTAGAGAGAGAGAGAGAGTGTGTGTGCATGAGAGGGGGCGGGGAGGGGTGGGAAGAGGCAGAATCCCTGCTGAGCAGGGAGCCTGATGAGGGGGCTCCGTCTCAGGACCCTGAGATCTTGACCCGAGCCAAAATCAAGAGTCAGAGGCTTAACCGACTGAGCCACCCAGGTGCCCCTAACACTGTTATAATGTCATTTTAACAAACACAAAGAAGATAGAGAGAAAATAGCCTAAAGAGTTTCTTAAAGAGAAAGAAAAATAGGGAAAAATATGTGAACTTCTACATCCCAGGTTTTGGTAATTAAGGTCTTCTCCCACTTAACCCACATCAGAGATAGGCCAGCTAAGGGAATTATACCATTGAGACCCATCTCTGTGTTAGCTCTTGCCCTGGACAGAACCTGCCCACCACCACCTTCCTACCCCCTAGCCCTTACCCCTACAAACACACCCAGGCACGAACCAGCCACAGCCCACCAGGCCTCCTCAGAAATGGGCATGGGGTTGGTGGGCGGGGCGGGGGTTGTCCTTCGTGTCTGAGGACTCTTCTGCCAGATCCTGCCATGTCTTTCCACGAAGCATTTTTACCTTGCTGAAGTCAACTAAACCTACTTTCCTGGAGGCATCTTTCTACATAAGATCTTCCCTTTTCTTTACATAGTTTAAATCAGCCTTTTCCAAAGTGGGTCCCATGAAAAGTCGATCGACTTGTTGCTGGTGAAACAGGTCTTGTGGTCAATTATCAGGGAGATGCTCCATCCCATAGTTTCTCACCCTGGATTCCCAAGACACATCAAAGGCCCGAGGACACTTCCCATCTAGATCCCTTTTGTCGCAGAACCCATAACCATCTCCTGCAGAATTACTACCGGTGTCTTAAATAAGAGGGGGAGACTTCATTCCGTACCACAGTATGGGCCAAGGAACCCAGCTGGGGTGCCAGGCTAAGTCAGTGGGCCTCAGAAGCCAGTTATAACCCTATCTTCTGGACATTCTGGGCAGACAGCTCCCACCTGCTGACCCCTGCCTCCATGGCCCGTCTCTCTTCGCAGACCCAGAGACACATGGCAGGGCAGACATGCCCAGGAAAGCCAGCTCTGTTGATGCTAAGCAGAGGCTCAGCTCCAGCTGCTTCTTCAAGCCTGGTTTTCAATGGTTTATCAACCGTTTGTCAGCTGAAGCCACCGGCTCGGCAGGCTTAACTGTAAAGTCAATCAGCTAGGGTATAGCTTATCTCGTTGTTACAAATGCACCCTCTGATGGGCTTGGAGAAGTGGCCCAAGGTTAGAAAGCTATAGAATGCCACCAGTGTCAAGAAACAGCTTTTCATGGCGCTCTAACCCCTCCAGAAAGGAAGCACAGGACTCCTTAAATCCCCTCCTGACAAAAGAAGCCGTCTCTTGCTCTTGCCACACTCCCACTGTCAGCACCCATGACACAGACCTGAGCCTGCTGCTGGAGTCTCCATGGCTGGCCCCAAGGATGCCACACGGGTGACACGCTTGGGCCATGGGCCGTGTGCACCCGGAGGCTGAGCTGAGTCAGTGTGACAGCAGCTAGCCTGTCCTGCCTGCCGCGGCTGGGGTGGGAGGTCTCTGCTTTGCATATCTGTGTGCAGCCTTGAGCAAGAGCAGGAAACGTCCGGGCTGGAAATCCTTCCATGAATACAAAATGTAAGTGGAAAATTTCCAAAGGTCCTAAAGGGCCCAGGTGATGCCAACTCTCCGCGGCGGCTGCGTGCGGCGTCCTGGCCGGGTTCGTGGCCCTCTCTGGAGCCAGAAGCTAAAGCCGAGGCCGCCCGACCCAGCTGAGCATTTGGCCTTCCTGACCGCGCACAGAAGATAAGCCACAGCTTCCCTCTGCGGACCAGACCCCTGACAGCCCGGCAGGAACCGGCCATACCGTCCCCT